TTGACTTTAATTTGCCCACATGTTCGGGCTTTGCTTTGAACTACAAGTGCGCGTTTTCAGTAAATTTTATTTAGTAAAACTTTTCCTAGTTGCAATTTAAGATTTGAGTATTTTATTTATCAAGGGCATTTTAGTAAAAGTAGTACCCGCCCGGGTTAGGGTGTTTCATTTTGGTATCAGAGCCTGGTTTTCCTCTGTTCCTTGGTCTCCAAGGAATACTGGAATATCGGTCTCAGTTTTAAAGGCTTCTGTTTTAAAGGAAAAGGAAAACGAGCCAAGGATCTTCTTTTAACAGTTGATAGGATCTACAGTCTACTCTAATCATATTAAGGTGAATAACTATGATGGCACGACACGAAGGGATGGTAGCCAGGGTGCGGTTGTTTAAGAATAGGCTATGATGCGATTTAGTTAACTTGTCGTGGTTTGTCAAATGAGAGATTTAGGCATATGGTGATCGCCAGTAAGAAAGAAAGGATGAAAGATACGTGACCAACCCAAGTAGAATCTCAAAGGCTCTCAAGACCAAGTATCTCATCGACATGATGGATTGTAGTTTTTCAATTAGTTAACCAACTACTCGGACGTTAGCAAACAAATCATCATCATCAACCTAGAGAAGGAAGGAGGAACGTTGCAAAGGTCTGTGGAGGTAGAATCAAAAGTGCGAGGACTTCAACTCCAAACATCAGCAAAGAGGTGCCAAATGAAAGGGAATACCTCGAGGATTTTGAAGGGGTTGAGAGAGGAGTACGAGGATTTTACTACTAGGAAACAAGTGGATAATCTAATAAGTTAAGACAAACAAAAGGGAGAAATATGAATTTCCAAAGGAAGAGGAACAATCACCAGATGCCAGTAGCTATGATAATGGGAGAATTTCAGGGTCCTTGACCCTAAGCAATGGCGAGTCAAGAAACAAAAAGGTACCACGAGAAGTCCCTAACCTAGTTTTAGTGGTCACCGCTATTACAACACCGTGACAAGGAGCAGCAGGAAGCTTAGACTTCAAGAAAAGCTAGAGTAGTATAAATGAACTAAAGGAGGAAATAAGTAGGTTGCATGGAGCATGAAAGGACGTCAAGAAGTCAAAAGGTCTAGGCAGAGAGGAGGTATGGTCGTTTACATAATGATGATAAAGGAACCCTTGTAAATAAACTACGTCACTAGAGAAGAGGGTACACGACTCTGGGGGTTAGGCTGATGACAAGCCGTTAGAAGGAACAAGACAAGCAATGAGGTAAATGATGTAGAGGATAAGTTATGGTCTCAGTACAACCACCGTTAGACGAGACATGGGGGAAAGTACCCCGAAGTCTAAATCATACCTGGTAGAAGATAGTGGGGAGTCAATAAGTAATAAAAGATATGGAATGTGAAAGGTAATCACAGTTAGCCGTAAATGGCAGTACGAATAGAGAACCACTTCTCATCAATGCGTGAATTGAATACTAAGTCAACACGGAGCTAGAAAGAGGATATTAGAGACCCTACAAACTACCCAGATCATGAAAGGTCAGGAGGTCGTTGGGATAGTTGAAAGGGGAATGCCAAAGTTCACAATGATCTGTTATGGGATTTTCCTATCCTAAATGGAGGGATCACTTAGCCGCCTCGGGTACATGAGGGGTGACAGAAGGAGGAACCTCTCTACTAAGTTGGAACTAGAGGGTTGAGAGCAGAGGTCTCATGACCACCCGTAGGAGTAAATTGTTCAATCAACAGGGTATAGACAAGCAAGTACAACGTTCATTAGAAGTTCTAATGAAAGTTGGAGAATTCGAGGAGGAGTCTAAAACCGTCGTAATGAAGAGAGTTTTCGAACAATACCAAGCAAGAGCAAAAAGGCCAGAGGGAGTGTGACGAGATTTCAAGAAGTCAATGGGTCAAGTCTCAGGCGACTCGAGGTCAAGAAGCTACACAAAGAGGCACGATGTGGGAAAGCACTACCGAGAAGGAGGAAAAGGAGAAGTTACCTTATCCAAGGTGCCCCACTCTGAGTGGGCGCGGCATGGTAGGAGGGCTCCAGAGGAGACAACTAGTTAAGGATGAAACAAGCACGTTTAATTAAGCCACTAAGAGCCATAACAAAGAGGTTAAGGCTATGTACAAGCATCAGTCGAGACAAAAGACTTGGATGAGGTATGTTCAAGATAACAAGGGCAAGCCACTATTGGAAGTTTTGACCCAAAAGAACAACGAGAAGATACTCAACAGAGTTTGGTGATCGAAAATAGTACAAAGTATCAACAGAAGGGTAGTAAAAGTAAAGAAGCAAGGAGAACACCATAGAACGCTGTAAGGATTAAAATAAATAAAAAAGTGGTTGCCGACCAGACAATGAATGCGTGAAGGAAGATAGTTGGGCCGTGGTTAAGCACCATCGTGAGTAGAAGTCGTGGGTGTCCTCTGTCAAGTCTACCTAGAGAAAGTTTCTAGTGGAAATGTTGGCTCCGAGGTATGGCGAGGAGCTACTAAACTGAGTAGATCAAAGCTAGTACTAAGCATCGATGAAGGAGTTCTGGAAGTAAGGAGGAAACCGCAAGATATAATGAAAGTTATGGTGGAAAGGGTGGTAGTTGATAAAACGAAAAATTCAGGGAGAAAGATAATTAGGAAGCGCCGGCGAAAGAATATGATGGTCAACAAGGAGGCATTAAGGTGATTGCTAGTGGAGAATAAGCTGGACCATAGGAAGCCCATCAAGAACGGAGAAGCTCAATGGTCAACTTTAAAGTAGAAGTGTGGTGGTCCAGAACGGTCGAAGGGAAAACCTTATCGGTCAAGGTACATAAGTGAGAAGAGAATATGGGCACCAAGATGACTACATCAAGGATGAGGGACATATAGAACTAGCAAGAAACATCGGTAAGAGGAGTCACGAGTAAAGAATTAAGATGGATATGGGTTTAGCGAACCTGCTAGGATACCCTAAAGTGGAAGATATACCACCTATGAGGGTGAAATGTGGCGATCTCTCGGGTAAAAATTTCTTGGACGGGAAAACTGTAGAATTTCAGGCAAGGTCAAAGAACAATAGAAGAGATCGTACGAGGACTCCCAAGTTAAACGATGATAAGGAAGTGTTAAGTTAGGCGCCAGGAGGGAATAAGTAAGCCAGAGAGAAGGCCATGATTCTTGAAAGAGATCGCAAGCTAGAGAAAGATGCAAAGGATGCCTCTAATGCATACAGAAAGTAAAAGCTGTAATATGAGGTGTCAGAGTTAAACAAGAAGTAACGAGGAGATGACCACTCAGTTTCTGGTTTAAAGGATAAGACGAAGCATCAAAGAAGAAAGTAAGAGATTTAAAGTTAGAAGGTACAAGGACCTAGGTAACCTACGTGGTCAACCACAGTCGAGGTTACGTAATAAGAGTTTTTGTGATCTAACCAGAAGGAAGCTATTGTCGTCTCCCTGATGAGCCCAAGGCAGGGTGATACCAGTTGGCATGCGTATGCAAAGAGGCTGGTCTTGAGGAATGAGTGCCCCTTAAAGACACCGCACGGACTTCGGAAGTCTATGTCCGTGACAAGTGGTATAACAAGATGGAGGTTAAGCCGCCATTAGTAACCTTTGTGTTGAAAGGGGTTTTAAGAACGTCATTAGGGATGTATAAGGGATTTTCTAATGCTAAAGGAACCATATATGGCGAATCAGGCATCAAGGGTGCATATCAAGTGCAGCTATCAAAGAGGAGAATAACGAGGCCTATAAAGGGAGAAGAAGTGATACCTAGGAACCAGCAGCGGGTTCAAACATTATGCAGGTCAAACATTCTCTACAGACATTCTATACCTAGGAGAGTCGTCAGCAGTCAAGATAGGGAGGACGAATTTCTAGGTCTGGGCCTTTTACGAGCTGAAGTTACGACGAGTCACGACCTGAATAGCTGGCTAATAATTTATTTCCTTAAGTTCTTTAGGAATCCTAAGTACAGACCCAAGACAAATCGTTGAGAACAACAATATGAGCTACGAAGCCATTACAGCATCAGAGGCATTTAAGAAGGGAGAGTGCCAGAGTGCCATAGACGCATTGAACAAGTAACTAGCTTGAGCAAGAGATTTATGAAAAGTGGGCGAGTAATTAGTTGGCCAAGAAGCACACGAATTGGAGGAAAGGGTTTATAGCTCCAGGTTGTATAAGGTAAAGGAAGAATAAGTCCTTGCAGCAGAAGGATTACCTCAAGTGAGACTTTAGGTTTTCAGCAATGAACAAATTTCGAGGCCGAAATTTTTCTTAAGGATGGAGGAAATGTGACACCTCGAATTCGATCTAAGGTTCGAAAACCAGTACGGAATGGGCTGGACCAATAAATCGACCCGATTTGTTGTCCCGTCACGCCTTATGCCTAAGTGGGGAATTAAAAAGGATAAGTAGCCACCCAAAGATGGCCGATGCTAACGAGCTTGGTGAGAATCCCTTCTATGGTCAAGAGGAAATATAAGAAGCGAGGTAAATCATACGGGACAAGCAACGGACATCGTACAAGCAACGGACATCATCGAAGTACATTTAGCTAGAGTAAATTCTTGAGGCAAGGGAGTACAAAGATGGTGTAGAATGAGCAATGAGTTTCAAGCAAATTTCGAGGACGAAATTTTTATAAGGGTGGAAGAAATGGAACACCCCGAATTTTGGGTTCAGGTTCAACTCAAATACGTGAACGGTTGGATTAACGGTTACGTACTAAGGATTGCAATCGTGGACTAGGAATAATAATAATAAAAATTATTATTATTATTAATAAAAAAAAATATATAATAGGGCAGGGGGGCCGAGCGGCCAAACCCTCCAAAAACCTTACCCCATTTATTAATTCCCCTTCCCCATTAAACCCACACTTTAGTCGCACATTAGAGGAGAAAAAGTGAGGGGGAGAGCGGCACAACAGTCCAAAAATCAGAATGGACACTCAGTGGAGGGGCAGGAAGATTCAGACTGGGGTTGGAGCAGGGATAGGTTGCTAGCAGCGGAGTTCACATAGCCACAACGGCCATGAAAGGCAGAAAGTTGCTGCCTTTTGGTGTGCGAACCATCACAACCTTAGGAGCCAAGAATCCGCCGTCAGCCGCTAGGTTGCAGGTGGAATCGTACTGTGAACCCTACCCTCACGAGGTTGTCTTTTTCCTAAACAAGAAAGTTGATAGCTTGATAAAATCCAGGCCGTTTGTGGTTGCTCAGGAGGTGGTTGATGACTTCTATTCGAAAATCACCACAATCACAAAGCCATTTAGAGGATAATCGACTAATAACCAAGGTGAGTGTAAAGGGGGTAAATTCTACGCCTTACGTATTCTTTAAGTATTATGTTTTAAGTATTTTAGCGAATTGGTTATCGTTGCTTGGTTATGTGTATGATTGATTATTTGTGCTTTGCTTGAGTTATGGTTTGAGATGATCTTGTGATATTTGAGGTAATTTTGTTTGAGCTATGCTTGAAGTGAATGTTTATAAATTACTTTGAACTTTTTATGAGTATAAGTTATTATTAAAGAGTAAGAAACAAGTTCTTTTAAAAGAAGTAACTCACGTTCAAGAAGGTTAAGTCGTTTTTAGTGTTTTTAGTCACTAGCGTCAGTCCCTTGCCTTTTGAGACATTTTGAGATAGAGCAGCATTTATACTCTTGAGACTTTTAAGATCGGCAGCAGTTATGCCCTTGAGAATCGTGGTGAAGAGTCACCACGATAAGTTTAAGATGTTAGGGGGATGAATCGTTACGACTTCCCTAACTAAGTTTAAGGAAAGCCTGAATGGCTTCTCATACGTATGAGTTGGCAACCAGACTAGCTAGTGAGGGATCCCCGTGTCAGTCAAGTATTTAAGTCAAGATTTGAGCTTTAAGAATAGAGAGTAATAACAACTCCCATACAGTTTAAGAGTTAAGATTTTAAGATTGGAAGTATAAACTACTTCCACCAGTTTAAGTTAAGTGTTTAAGCAAAGTATTCAAGTGTTAGAAATTTTAAATTGTAAGGGCGTAGACTGACCCCATCTCACTCACCAGTTTGAGGAGCTAGTGGAGCAGTTAGTGAGCAGCGAGTTCGAGGGCAGCCAACTAGAGGAGGACAGTGCAAGCGTCACGCAGGATGCCTAGTTAAGATTTTCAGTAGCAGCAAAGACAGAGATTACCTAGTTATTTATATTTATGATTATGAGTATAGATTGGAGATCAGATTGAGATTTTAAAGTTTGAGTTTAATTTGCCCACATGTTAAGGCTTTGCTTTGAACTACAAGTGCGCGTTTTCAGTAAATTTTATTTAGTAAAACTTTTCCCAGTTGCAATTTAAGATTTGAGTATTTTATTTATCAAGGGCATTTTAGTAAAAGCAGTACCCGGCCGGGTTAGGGTGTTTCATTTTGGTATCAGAGCCTGGTTTTCCTCTGTTCCTTGGTCTCCAAGGAATATTGGAATATCGGTCTCAGTTTTAAAGGCTTCTGTTTTAAAGGAAAGGGAAAACGAGTCAAGGATATTCTTTTAAGAGTTTATAGGATCTCCAGTCTACTCTAATCATATTAAGGTGAATAACTATGATGGCACGGCACGAAGGGATGGTAGCCAGGGTGCGGTTGTTTAAGAATAGGCTAGGATGCGATTTAGTTAACTTGTCGTGGTTTGTTGAATGAGAGATTTAGGCATATGGTGATCGCCAGTAAGAAAGAAAGGATGAAAGATACGTGACCAACCCAAGTAGAATCTCAAAGGCTCTCGAGACCAAGTATCTCATCGACATGATGGATTGTAGTTTTTCAATTAGTTAACCAACTACTCGGACGTTAGCAAACAAATCATCATCATCAACCTAGAGAAGGAAGGAGGAACGTTGCAAAGGTCTGTGGAGGTAGAATCAAAAGTGCGAGGACTTCAACTCCAAACACCAGCAAAGAGGTGCCAAATGAAAGGGAATACCTCGAGGATTTTGAAGGGGTTGAGAGAGGAGTACGAGGATTTTACTACTAGGAAACAAGTGGATAATCTAGTAAGTTAAGACAAACAAAAGGGAGAAATATGAATCTCCAAAGGAAGAGGAACAATCACCAGATGCCAGTAGCTATGATAATGGGAGAATTTCAGGGTCCTTGGCCCTAAACAGTGGCGAGTCAAGAAACAAAGAGGTACCACGAGAAGTCCCTAACCTAGTTTTAGTGGTCACCGCTATTACAACACCGTGACAAGGAGCAGCAGGAAGCTTAGACTTCAAGAAAAGCTAGAGTAGTATAAATGAACTAAAGGAGGAAATAAGTAGGTTGCAGGGAGTATGAAAGGACGTCGAGAAGTCAAAAGGTCAAGGCAGACAGGAGGTATGGTCGCTTACATAATGACGATAAAGGAACCCTTGTAAATAAACTACGTCACTAGAGAAGAGGGTACACGACCCTAGGGGTTAGGCTGATGACAAGTCGTTAGAAGGAACAAGACAAGCAACGAGGTAAATGATGTAGAGGATAAGTTGTGGTCTCAGTACAACCACCGTTAGACGAGACATGGGGGAAAGTACCCCGAAGTCTAAATCATACCTGGTAGAAGACAGTGGGGAGTCAATAAGTAATAAAAGATATGGAATGTGAGAGGGAATCACAGTTAGCCGTAAATGGCAGTACGAATAGAGAACCACTTCTCATCAATGTGTGAATTGAATACTAAGTCAACACGGATCTAGAAAGAGGATATTAGAGACCCTACAAACTACCCAGATCATGAAAGGTCAGGAGGTCGTTGGGATAGTTGAAAGGGGAATGCCAGAGTTCACAATGATCTGTTATGGGATTTTCCTATCCTAAATGGAGGGATCACGTAGCCGCCTAGGGTACATGAGGGGTGACAGAAGGAGGAACCTCTCTACTAAGTTGGAACTAGAGGGTTGAGAGCTGAGATCTCGTAACCACCCGTAGGAGTAAATCATTCAATCAACAGGGTATAGACAAGCAAGTACAACGTTCATTAGAAGTTCTAATGAAAGTTGGAGAATTCGAGGAGGAGTCTAAAACGATCGTAATGAAGAGAGTTTTCGAACAATACCAAAGAAGAGCAAAAAGGCCAGAGGGAGTTTGACGAGATTTCAAGAAGTCAATGGGTCAAGTCTCAGGCGACTCGATGTCAAGAAGCTACACAAAGAGGCACGATGAGGGAAAGCACTACCGAGAAGGAGGAAAAGGAGAAGTTACCTTATCCAAGGTGCCCGACTCTGAGTGGGCGCGGCATGGTAGGAGGGCTCCAGAGGAGACAACTAGTTAAGGATGAAACAGGCACGTTTAATAGTACAAAGTCTCAACAGAGTTTGGTGACCGAAAATAGTACAAAGTATCAACAGAAGGGTAGTAAAAGTAAAGAAGCAAGGAGAACACCATAGAACGCTATAGGGATTAAAATAAAATAAAAAGTGGTTTCCGAACGGACAATGAATGCGTGAAGGAAGATAGTTGGGACGTGGTTAAGCACCATCGTGAGTAGAAGGTGGGTGTCCACTATCAAGTCTACCTAGAGAAAGTTTCTAGTGGAAATGTTGGCTCTGAGGTATGGCGAGGAGCTACTAAACTGAGTAGATCAAAGCTAGTACCAAGCATCGATGAAGGAGTTCTGGAAGTAAGGAGGAAACCGCAAGCTATAATGAAAGTTATGGTGAAAAGGGTGGTAGTTGATAAAACGAAAAATTCAGGGAGAAAGATAATTAGGAAGAGCCGGCGAAAGAATACTAAGGTCAACAAGGAGGCGTTAAGGTGATTGCCAGTGGAGAATAAGCTGGACCATAGGAAGCCCATCAAGAACGGAGAAGCTCAATGGTCAACTTTAAAGTAGAAGTGTGGTGGTCAAGAACGGTCGAAGGGAAAACCTTATATGTCAAGGTACATAAGTGAGAAGAGAATATGGGCACCAAGATGACTACATCAAGGACGAGGGACATATAGACCTAGCAAGAAACATCGGTAAGAGGAGTCACGAGTAAAGAAGTAAGATGGATATGGGTTTAGCAAACCTGCTAGGATACCCTAAAGTGGAAGCAATACCACCTATGAGGGTGAAATATGGCGATCTCTCGGGTAAAAATTTCTTGGACAGGAAAACTGTACGAGGAATTTCAGGCAAGGTCAAAGAACAATAGAAGAGATCGTACGAGGACTCCCAAGTTAAAAGATGATAAGGAAGTGTTAAGTTAGGCGCCAGGTGGGAATAAGTAAGCCAGAGAGAAGGCTATGATTCTTGAAAGAGATCGCAAGCTAGAGAAAGATGCAAAGGATGCCTCTTATGCATACAGAAAGTAAAAGCTGTAATATGAGCTGTCAGAGTTAAACAAGAAGTAACGAGGAGATGACTACTCAGTTTATGGTTTAAAGGATAAGACGAAGCATCAAAGAAGAAAGTAAGAGATTTAAAGTTAGAAGGTACAAGGACCTAGGTGACTTACGTGGTCAACCACAGTCGAGGTTACGTTATAAGAGTTTTTGTGATCTAACCAGAAGGAGGCTATTGCCGTCTCCCTGATGAGCCCAAGGCAGGGTGAAACCAGTTGGCAAGCATATGCAGATAGGCTGGTCTTGAGGAATGAGTGCACCTCAAGATGCCGCACGGACTTCGGAAGTCTATGTCCGTGACAAGTGGTATAACAAGATGATGGTTAAGCCGCCATTAGTAACCTTTGGGTTGAAAGGGGTATTAAGAACGTCATTAGGGATGTGTAAGGGATTTTCTCATGCTAAAGGAACCATATATGGCGAATCAGGCATAAAGGGTGCGTATCAAGTGCAGCTATCAAAGAGGAGAATAATGAGGCCTATAAAGGGAGAAGAAGTGATACCTAGGAACCAGCAGCGGGGTCAAACATTATGCAGGTCAAACATTCTCTACAGACATTCTATACCTAGGAGAGTCGTCAGCAGTCAAGATGGGAGGACGAAGTTCTAGGTCTGGGTCTGTTACGAGATGAAGTTACGACGAGTCACGACCTGAATAGCTGGCTAATAATTTATTTCCTTAAGTTCTTAAGGAATCCTAAGTACAGACCCAAGAAAAATTGTTGAGAACAACAATATGAGCTACGAAGCCATTACATCATCAGAGACATTTAAGAAGGGAGAGTGCCATAGACGCATTGAACAAGTAACTAGCTTGAGCAAGAGATTTATGAAAAGTGGGCCAGTAATTAGTTGGCCAAGAAGCACACGAATTGGAGGAAAGGGTTTATAGCTCCAGGTTGTATAAGGTAAAAAAAGTATATGTCCTTGCAGCAGAAGGATTACCTCAA